AGCTGTTCCATCCCTGGGATCATTTTTGTGGCCCTACTCTGGATGCACTCCAACAACTCCATGTCTCTCCTGTACTGAGGACTGTATGTCTGGATGCAGTACTCCAGGTGAGGCCTCACAGCACAGAGCAGAGGGGCAGGATCACCTCCCTCACCTTGCTGGCCACACTGCTTTGGATGCGACCCAGGGTACATTTGGCCTTCTGGGCTGTGAGGGCACAGTGCTGGCTCATGTCCAGCTGCCATCTACCAATATCAGTAAGTTCCTTCCAGCAAGGCTGTGCTCCCAGCTGGGATTTCCTTGACCCAAATGCAATACCCTGCATGTGGCCTTGTTAAACCCCATCAGCTTCTCATGGGCCCACCTTTCGAGCTTGTCCAGGTCCTTCTGAATGGCATCCTTCCTTTCTATTGTGTTAACTGCACTGTGCCAGGTGTCACCCGTGAATTTGCAGAGGGTGCACTTGGCCCCACTCTCCATGACATTGATAAAGGTGTTGAAGAGCACTGCTCCCACGATAGAACCCTGGGGAACATTTGTGACCAGCCCACCCATGCACATGGAGCCACTGACAACAACCCTCTGGATATGACCATCCAACCAATTCTTTATCCACACTCGTTTGCACGTGACAATTTCTGAGCACTTCTTCCACCCAAAAGCAACACAACCCCCACAGCAGGCCTGGCAGTGCAGGCAGATGGGCAGACCTCTGTTCCTGAAGCCTTTCTATGTCCCTACTACCAGCATTATCACATCCCACACAATTTATCCCCTCATACCCCACTTCATTTATGCACTACTGCCCTCATACCCGCTCTCCCTGTCCCCCGGCCCCCCCGCCGTGCTCTCTGGTAGGGTCCTTCCTCCCCTCGTCCCCTCCCGGCCCAGGGCCGCCCCTCACTCGCCTCCTCCCCTCCCGCGGGCGGCACCGCCTGCTCCTCCCGCTAGGCCGCTTCCCGTCGCTATGGCAACCGCTGCCCGGGAGGCCGCCAGCCAATCACATCCCGCCAACGGTCTGGAGGGGGGGTGTCTTTACCTAGCAACCTGCCCGGCTCGCTCTGATTGGTTCGCGAGCTCCGGCGGGGTGAGGCTGACGGGGAGAGTGGGCGGGGCGGAGGCGCGGGGCGGGGCCGGGCGCTGCGGCGGGGTCGGGCGGGAGGGAGGCGCGGCCGTTGCCTCCCGCCGCCACCTGAGGGAAGGAGCGGAGCGGCCGCGGCGGGACCCCGCGCTGAGGTAACGGCGGGGTTCGGGGCCGTGCGGAGCGGTCGGGATTTTCCCTCAAGGTTGTCGCGCTTTCTGCCCCTACGGAGATCACATAGAGCGGGGACGCCGGGTGGGGGGGAGCGGCCATGAGGCGTTCTTCGGGCGGAGGAACGAGCTGAGGGGCTGCACTGGCGCTGCGCGTCCCCCGGGGGGGGCGAGAGGTGCTGCTCCCACCTGCCCTCCTCCCCCTCGCTTCGTGCCTGGCGGGCGGGGGGTGGCGGCTCCTCGTTCCCTCAGCGCTGCGTTGGGGATGGCTTGCTTGCTCCACATCCGATTCCCTGCGGTCGGCGTGAGCTCCTGCGGAGGGAGGTGCTGAGCTGTCCCTCGGGATCCATCAGCATCCCGAGCAGAGATCAGCCCAGGTTGGGAGGCACCAGAAGGATAGAACCGTAGAATGGATTGAGTTGGAAGGGACCTTTCGAGGCCATCTGGTCTCATTCCCTGCACTGAGCAAGGACACCCACAGCTCCATCAGTGCTCAGAGCCCGTCCAGCCTGACCTGAGTATCTCCAAGGATGGGGCACCACTGCCTCTGTGCAGCTTGTTCCAATGCTTCAACATCCTTGTTGTAAAAAACATCTTCCCTCCATCCCATCTAAATTTCCCCCTCTTTTAGTTTGAGACCATTTCATATATTATTGTAATATCCACAAATGGAAGGGAGTGCTGAGCATCATCAGGTCTGACTCTTGGCTCCCCACGGGTCTACTCAAAATTGTGTGGGGGTCGGCCTCTGTTCCCAGGTAATCGTCAGTAGGATGGGAGCTGATGGCCTCAGGTTGTGCCAGGGGAGGTTCAGGGTGGATACGAGGAAAAATTTCTCCTCAGAAAGAGTGTTGTTGCAGTGGCACATCTGGCCGGGGAGGTGGTGGGGCCACCAAACCTGGAGGTGTTCCAGAATTGCAGAGATGTGGCTCTGGGGCTCATGGTGGGGTGATCTGAGTTTGGACTGGATGACCTTAGAGGTCTTTTCCAACCCGAATGATTTAATGAATGTTCAAACCCTATGGTTGAGGGCAGAAAGAATTTCTTCTGGGAGCGGATTGCGGCGACCTGGCCTAAGTGCAAAGAAACCATGGGGAGGGGTGTCAACACGTGTGCCCTTCTTCCCCTATGGCCTCCTCATTGGTGTAGAGGATGTGGGGGTTATGCTGTGGTTCTCCCTTAATCCCTAACCTAAATGGAACAGGGGAGTTCAGCGCTGGAGTTTCCTTCCCGCTGACTAATTAAAATGGAGTGACGAGAATAATGTATGCTGCTTTTGTGCCTTCATGTGGGTGGGAATGGGTCGGGGAAACTCTGCCAGTGCTTGTGTGCAATGGGCAGGTTGCTTTTCTGTCTTCGTGGTCAGAACTGGCTGGGGAATGGCTAGGGTGACATTTTCTCCTCGTCCTCCCAGTTGTGCAGGGAAAATCTAGTTTGCTGTATGGTCTCACATCTCCAGCAGGTTTAACCATTAATGTGTTCACCTGCAGAGTGTCCTTGTAAGATCTGCTGATTTATTATTTTTTTTCTCCCCCATTACTTCCCCTTACTGCCCTTTCTATTAACTTTGAAATTTATTTTTGGGGAGAAAAAAAATGCATGTGGTGTTCAATCCTTTCACATCATGACTTCTCACTCTATCATTATCTTCTCTGCATGTCTTAATGTATCTTTTACAGCAGGAATTAGATGGGTTTGCATGATTATAAATAATGTATAAATGTGCAACCACACTAACAAACGGGCTATTTCCTTCCCCTTTTGCCCACAGTTTCTTTTGCAGCCCCTTAGGGGATGCCTGCCTGCCTACCTACCCCCCTCCTCTTTAATCCCAGTGTCACCAAAAGTATTTTGTTTTTATGTACATATAAGAATAACCACAGGATTCCATATGCAGAGGCTTAACAAAGAGCATACAGAACTGGATCTGTGGTAAGAAACTATCTTGACGCTGAAGATTGCTTGTTATGGCATTCATCTGTCTGCACCAATTAATAGGTCATCTGTATGCTTGTCTGTGAAATGTTCACCTCCTGTTGCAATAGCATGGTTGTCTTTTTTCTTAATTTCACTTCTTTCTTTTCCGTGAAGGAGCATGAGCTGACCAGGCTCTGTAGTCTAATATTCTTTTCTGGCTTTAGTAAACATTTTCTTTGTGGTACTGTATGGTGGTTGCTGTAAGTATGTAGCATCAGAACCTCTCTTAGGAGGCGTTTTCTTCTGATTGCTGCTGGAATGGCATCTGAATCATAGGATCCCCCCTAGGAATGCAATAGCCAGTCCTTGTTGTGAGTTTGCTCCGATGAAGTTGTTAGATGGAGTCTTCTTGAGTTGGTGCCTGAAGTCTTTGAAAAATATCTTTCTTGAAGGTCAGGGGGACAAAGCTTTTCGTGGCCATTTGAGCTTGGAGCTGGGTGGGAATGAGGTGTGGTGGGATACAGCACATTTTACATGTTTTGGTGAATTTTGGTCTTGTAAATTCAGTGTGTTGACCGTTCTTCTCATCAGTGCTTGCTTGCTTCAGTATGAAAGAAGAGACTTTCATCTGAGCTGTGTTGGCTGATTCTACTGCTTATCTTAGTGTTCAGGTAGTTCACTTTCCAGCTTTTCTTTTTATTGGTCATGTTTCCTTTTCTGTAGTTTGGAACAATTTTACTCTTTGTGTATTTTTCTTTATGTTCTAAAGTGTGGCTTCAAACATGGATTTCCTGTCAGTAGCTGTGAAAGAGTGGGCAGCCTGTGGGAGAAAGTTGTCAATGAACTGAACGCAGTGTGGTTGTGTTTAACACTTTGGTCTTTTTACTATTTGCCTGTTTGTTTTTCCAACATGTCTTGAACAGCTGCAGCCAAAGCCGTTGCCTCACGTGATCTTAAAGAGAAGTGTGGAATAGTTGAGGTTGGAAGGAGTCTCTCAAGATTACCTGGCCCAACCCTCAAGGTTTATGAGGGTTTAGAGGAATACGGTGTTTAATTTTTCTGACCATAAGATGGGCCCATGTACACGTGTGTACATCTCTGCAACTTTTTTTGACCAGCTGATACTAGCAGAAGGCTGACAGTGAACTCTTTCATATCTCTCACTAAGTTTGCATTGGAGGGAAAGGAAAACATTTTTTCCTTCTGGACTTGTAGAATTTAGGGCTCGTCCCAAACATCTGAGAAAAAGCTTTCAATCTTGAGATTTATGATCCTGCTCTGATTAGTGATGCCTCCACCTGGGAACGCTGATGGAGCACTTTGGGTTTCCTGGTTCAAGCAATATTTCTAGATTTCTATTACCTTTCATTACAAACCATAATTCTTTTAAAAGCACTTTGGCTAGAGACTGGATATTACAAATCCATTGCTGAAAAACAAAATTGCTCTAAGAAAAAAAGACTTGTGGCTCTGTCAGCTTTTCTCAAACTTTAGCCTCTAGTTCCAGAGTTTTCCTGCAGCAGATGGATGCAATATGCTGAATCCCTTTAATGCTCTGAGAAGATGTGGGCCCAGCTCTGGGAATTACTGCTGTGTGATTTGGCTCTGTAGGCAGAGTGGAGCTGGCAGAACAGCACTATTTAGCTACCTGTGCATTTTCTGTCTTTTGCAGTATGCAGAGAAAGGGATGGGCAAAGAATGCTGCCTTCTGGCTGATATGTGGTGGGTATGATGGCTGCTGGAGTGCAAGATATGAAATTTGTCTCAAATGGCTTAGAGATGATGAAAGTTGGCAACAGCTGGGCTAAAACTACAGGTGTGAGCACAGCCAGCCAAGCCACGAGTGCAGCTTGCAGGGCAGAGCAAAAGTCCTCAGTAGTGCAGGTTGGGACTTGTGTATTGGTGGCAGTGACTGTTTTGTTTTTGTTTTGTTATTCAGCAGAAGCTATGTGGCCGTGCAAGTAAAGATGCTATCGCTGAGAACGTGCTGGTGGAGTTTGAGTCATGAGAAGCTTGGTTTCAGTGTGGTCAGTGGTTGTAGTCTCACATGGTTGTAAGTTAAAGTGCAGGGTTTCTCTAAAAATATTTTATTCCTAGTAAATAGATTTCTGCCTTTCCACCATCATTTTCAAGTGAGTTTTGCAGCATACCTCCTTTCTTTTTCCCACCAGAAGGTCAGAGGGTCCCCTGACCATTTTTAGTCTTGCACACAAGAATTTTTAAGCAATTTTTCCGATGGTGTTTTTGAAACTAAAACTGTAATCAACGAGAGAGCTTTTTTGATATATTCTATTTGTTGTGTTTTCTTTTTGTCTTAAGCTACCTGTCAGAGGAAGAATGTAACCTGGCTGCTGTTCTATCAGGATGGAGTCAATTGTGTGGGAATGTGGTTAAACATCTGAATACCTTAACCTGATGCAGGTGGTAAAGCAAGATGCCTCGTTCGTCTGTCTCAAATGCATCATCTTCAGGACTGAGCTGACAATGCTGTGCACTGAGAGTTTCCCAGTCGTGAAGAACCTAAACCAGGACTGCAAATAACTGCTGCTGAAGCAAAATCAGGAGGCAGGAGAAGAGTTGAAAGAGCTTTCTGGCTGGGCTCGGGAACTGGCCCCATTCACGGCGTGGAAGGATGGCTGTTAGCTGGATGTTCTGCTGCTTTTGGCTCTTGGATGTTTTGGTGGGCTGCACAAGAGGGCACAGTTTGTTTTCCTGTGAGCCCATCATCCTGCGGATGTGCCAGGATCTGCCTTACAACACCACCTTCATGCCTAACCTTCTGAACCACTATGACCAGCAGACAGCAGCATTAGCAATGGAGGTAAGGCTATGGTTTTTTTTATCAGCATACATGATTTTGGCCTTCAATTGACAGGTGGTTTGTAACATGAGCTAAGAAGATACTCACATCAGAAATAAAAATGAAGAACATCTGTATTGTTAAATATAGAATCAAACACTACTTGCAAAACATGCATTGCAATATGTACTAAAATATGCTGTGACTATGAAACTTGCTTTTTCAGTATGAACTGAGTGGAATAGACTGGATGTGTTGGTATGTTTCTTGAAATATTTAGTCCAGGAATGCATATTTTGAATGGTCTGTCAGCTAACTGAATGCCAGGAAAATGGTGTGCTGAGCAAAGGCTGCAGTTCTGAAGACTTTGGCGATTTTGTAGAACTTGGCCTTTTCTTACTTGAAATTTGATGTGAAACAATGAGACCATGAAAATAAAGGAAATTGCTAATTTGTTAGCACTGCTTTCTTCAGCTAGGAGGAAATCTATTGTCTTGTAGACAGTTTAATTAACATGTTTCTGTTCTGTATCCAGGCAGAGAACCTTTCATACTTGCACTTCCTGTGTTACAGTGGTACCTTACTACTGCTACCATTATCCCCCTCAAATCTGTCTTGGATTTATACATCTCCTTCCCTCAAAAAAATAAAAACAACTTAAAATTCTCTTGAGATTGTCTAACCTTTCTTTGGAGAAGTTTCCTGATGAGGTTTAACCACGTGTTTTCTCTTTCCTTCTCTATGATGTGGTTTATACAAGACTTACAAGTTCACTTCAGTCTGTTCCCTATCCTGCTGTTGCCTGTACTTAAGGAGCTTCCTTGTTTGCTATTCTGTGTAATGGAAGATAAAGCTGATGGGCTTACAGAACATTAGGCATGTCTCACTTTCAAACAGCCTATCCAAATATTTCCCTTTGTGATTTCTGCTAATGGATTTCTTGTATTTTTGATGTGCTCTGGAGTCCTTGCTGGTAGATGGACCAGGTGGATTAATCATACGTTTTCATCTTCGAATGATCTTCCCAACAATATAAGATTGTTTAACAACAGCAATTAAATCAGTATCAAGCCAAGGCTTTATATAATGCTTCCATGGAAGGGTTATGAACCAGACTTGACAAGCTTTTTACTGCAAGGAGGAAATAGAGATCATTACCCTTAAATTTGCTGTGGTTGAAACAACTGCGTGGACTTGCATTTCAGCTGCTGATTTGGATGTGGCTAGGGCTTCCATTAGAGATGATCCTGGTAAGCTCTCAAGGCCTTTGAAAATCTTCCTGTAAGGAGAAAAAATGGAGCAAGTAAGGAAGTTTAATATAGTATATAACTAGTTGTTGACACTTTAATGGAGTTTATTTCCTAATTGAAAACTGGGAGCTAGGATATTAAAGGAGTTGGTGAAACCAAGAGGGTTGAGGGCTTCTGAGGCTTAACTTGAAGAGATGTGCTGATAGTGGGGTTGCATTGTTGCTGAGTGGTGGTATAATTAGTTGGCACCAGTAAGATGGGAAATACACAACAGAATCAGCAGGTCAACTTAAAGCTAAAGCCAAACCAGAATCAAGAATTGTGAGGAACTTGATTACATTTGAGCTGCACTAAGATGTAAAATGGTGGAGAAAATTGAAAGTGGTAAGTATGTACTGGGTAGAATAATCTTCACAGAATGGCCTGGGTTGCAAAGGCCCACGATGCTCATCCAGTTCCAACCCCCTGCTGTGTGCAGGTCACCAACCAGCAGCCCAGGCTGCCCAGAGCCACATCCAGCCTGGCCTTGAATGCCTGCAGGGATGGGGCATCACAGCCTCCTTGGGCAACCTGTTCAGTGCCTCACCACCCTCTGGGGGAAAAACTTCCTCCTCATATCCAACCTAAACCTCCCCATCTCAGTTTCAGACCATTCCCCCTTGTTCTATCACTAGTGGTGATGCATTAGTGGTGGTGGTCAGCTTGTTTTCTTGTATTTATGTATTGAAAGCCTGACGAAAGAGTAAGATAGCAAAAAGGAAAATCAGGCACCTAGAATAAATTAGAAAATAGTAGACCAGCCATTATGGTGGTGGTCTGTAATGCTGTCATACACTGATAGCTGGTGTGTTGTGGGCTGTCCCAAAGAATGCAGTGGGGCTGAGTAAGGTCGCAGAAGAACAGGAGCGATGACCCCAGGTTCATGGAAGTTCTCCCACGTGGAGTCCAACTATGGTTGGACTACAGTGTGTGCTTTAGCCTAATTTTTAACAGCCACCATCATTAGTGGCATGCAGAGGTTTTTTGGGTGGGTCCCTGTGTCATCCAGCACAGGAAATAGGCCCTAGCAAATGAAGTTGGTAGAAGTTAAGGCAAAGTGAAGGTTCTTCAAATAGTTGCAGAAGGTTGTGGGGGTGAACACCTGGACGAGACTCGATGAGAATGCCAAGGGTGGTGATTAGATAGGAAAAAAAAAAAAAGGGAAAAAAGAAAAAGCCAAGAAAATTGATGGAGACTGAGAGTGCATGGGGGGTATTAAGGGAACATGAGGAGTGTCCATTCTGCAGAGTGCTTTGTCTCCTGGTGACCTAGTGCTTAGGGAAGTCCCTAAAGGATGCGAAGCTGACCTATTGCCCATAATGTTTCCCTGATGCTTCCCCAGTGTGCAGTTCTTGAATTACAGATGCTAGAGGGTATCTCTCTGCCTGGCCCCTTCCAGAATAGTTTTGGGAGCTGTTGGCAACAAATTTCTCTACACTGTTGTATGAATACAGTACTGATGACCTACCCTTCAATGAGAACAAGCTCCAGGAGTTCACTAGCCACCATTTAGGGGAGCACTTTTTCTCTGAACAGTTCTAAATGATTTTCCTCCCGGTTTCATTCAACGTCGTTTTGTTGGAGTATTGTGCAGTGTTGTTCTGCAGTTAAACCCTCTGCACTTGCAATTTCTGGAGACACTCAGGCTTTTCCTCTCCAATTTGAAGTCTTCCAGCTGTCTGGGCTGGCTTCTTGCAATTCCACTGCTTCAGCCCTGTAATCACATCAGTTATCCTTCTCTGGTCCTTTCTCTAGCTCAGTCCTAGCTGAGGTGCAGAGCTGAGAATGGCACACCACGCCAGATGTGAGCATGCTGAGCATTCATAGAGAAATAATGAAATGCTTTTTGCAGCAAAAAATGGCCAACGTTGTGGTGGCTCTTCTGGCTTTTGCTTCACGTTAAACCAGTGATTTCAGAGACCTGTCAAAATATCACTTTTGCTTTCCCTAATTGTCTCTTTAGAGCCACTGCTGGAAGCAGAACAGTAGATTATAGGGGCCCACAGGCTGAGCCAGAAGTGCTGTTGTAATTGCTCTTATCTTCATAAAATAGCTTTCTGCTAAGGAGAAAGAAGCGGATGAGAAGTGAACGTTACTTCTCTGCAATCTGTGACACAAAGCTCAACTTGATAGCATAAATCAACCTGTGTGAAGCGCCGTGTTGCAGCAGTTCAGATACTAGCTCAGTGCCACAGCCATTCTTAAACTTAGCGTGGGAGCGTCTGGTATTGTGGCTGTATGTGCAGCACTGCGTTCTGCCAGTGTAATTAGTGTAGGCTAGTGGCTTCTGCCTGGGGATGGGCTGTGGGCTGCCTCTGGCTCATGAAATGAGGAGGTGTGTACTGGGATGCCATATAGAATTACTTAACTACTTAGGAGCTGGGTTTTGTTGTTTTGTTTCTTGCTTTCTATAATCACAGTTTACGAGGGCTTCTACTACAGTAAAGAGTACACGTGAAGTGAAGAGAATTACAGCTGTTGTCTTTCCATCAGTTGAACTCATCATACTGTTCTTCCCTTGCCATTGGTTGCCTTTTGGAGGATCTGTTCAAACCTCACTGACACTTCTTTAAAAACACAACGATCGGCAAGTTTCCTTTTTCAGCCTTTATGCTAATATGATTCCTCAATTAGAGTAATTAGAATTAGTAAGTCATCGGCGATGTGTTGTTGTACTGCTGCAGTGCGAGAGGGGATGGAGAGGAGAGGCGCGTGCTGAGGCTGTGCTGCCGGAGCTGTCCTGCCCGCGGTACTGCAGGGCTCCCTGCTGGCCTTCCTCTGCCTGCTGCCACGTGGCATGGAAGGTATTCTGGCGCTGTGCTGTTGTCTGCAAGCAGGTGGTTCTTACGGTAGCTATCCAGCACAGTGTGATTCTGCTGTGCTGCTGAATCTTGCTTCTCTGTAGGGTCGTGATGACGGCACAGCACAGCAGTGGTGTTGCAGTGCCCTGCTGCCACTCGTCTGTTACGCAGATCGTGTGCTGAGTGAGGCGGTGCAGAAGTTAAATATTCCCCTGGGGAATCTGACCTTGCTTACCCATCCTTTGAATTATTATTGCTACAGTGTGAAGGATTATCTTTCATCCCTTTTTCACTTAATATTCTTTTGGCCTTGAAGAATTTGCTTATATGTAAGAATGGTAAGCCGTATTTTTTTTGGCTGCCTTAACACAGTTTTTTGGCGTTTATTTTTTTTAATAGACAGTTTGTAACTGTTGGTAATTTGGAAGTTGGAAGCATTTCTTAGCAATGAAAAGAAGCAATTTAATGTGATGATTGCCAGTCACTTCGCAGTTAAATTCACCATCAGTGCTTCCTGCTCCTTAGCCTGATTTCAGTGGGACCTCACAGATGCTCCTAGGGATCAAAGAGGCTTTAAAGGACAGGAAGCAGATAGAGATGAGGCCTAAAAGGGCCACTGTGGGTGTGTGCAGAAGCTTTGTCTCCTGGGATTATACTGGAGGTGGAATGCTCCAGAAGTGCAACGATGCAGTCACCATCTGGGCAGAGGAGATAACGTGCTGTTACTTTGTGCTCTCTCACAACTTCCATTCCCATTTTGCATATCAAAAACCAGCAGTGGGATAGGTTAGGGATGCACTATGGCCAGGCTTACTGGTGTGAGGGTGAGAGATGCAAGTGAGAAATGGAGAAATAGTGGTACTCTGCAGCTTGTTCACCTTTATGCAGTGTGAGAGAAGTAGTCAGAGCAGTAACATGGAACAGAGAGGCT